GCAGGGTGCTATAACACGCACTTTGCTTATGTAGTACTAGACATTTGATTTGCATTCTACAGGGTCAGTGCTGTGGGCATGTGGATCTGACAAAGCATTCTATTGAGAATTTAAGGGTGGCAAAGTTTCCCCACAAAATACAACTATCCTTAATTTTCTCAAATTTCATCAAAAACCCTGTCCTGCCCAAATTTCCTCAGAACCCCTATTATTCTGCCCAAACGCCCTTTTGAAATCCTTAGCCTTCCCAAACGTCCCTCAAAACTGGTAAGTTGCCGGAAAAGAAGGGAAAGTGAAGGGAACGAAAACTATAGAACTCCATATATAGCTAAAATGAAAGATAAAGATATATATATAATTATACAGTAGGCTACAGTAGGTGTTTTTTCCAACGTTTCCTTGAAGAAACCGGACCTGTTGCCGCTTCGTCAATCACGTGGATCGTCGCCTCTCAGTGTTTGCCGTAGCCGGTGTCTCAGTGTCTTGGTGACCGGTTTCGCTTGTCCATCCCTCAAGTGATGTCTTACTACTGCTGCATTTGCCTTGGCATTCTATAGAAACACCCTTGCCAGTCATTCTACACTCATTCTATAGACACCATTTCTCTAGATAATACCAAGCGAGTGATCCTAATTGGTACAGCACGGAGGATTTATTATGTTGCTACTTGTATATACAATTTCAATTCTATATACATAATACAGATATTTGCTGGTATTTTTATATATAGATAGTATATATAAATACATATTTGGGCAGCTTTGCAACAAATTGCCTCACAGACCAGGTCCTGGTATGCCAAGAGAACACCATGATGTTACATTGGTTCAATGTCAGACTGTCCAAACAGACATGCACGCAGAACTCCATTATTTGCGAATATGCCTGACCCACCAATTCAGTTCCGAACCTGCACATATCAGAACACTTTTGAGGGCAGTGCTTCTCGTTCTGTGGGAGAGTGCTACTTGAGGCTGGGATGCTGCGAGCAAACTCACTCAGAAATGAGGCGCGGTGACCGTGGGGTCCGCTGATGCCGAAACGACCAAACAAAGACTCTTGGAGTTGCTTGCCTGGGCACATAGAAATGTGCACATAGCATTTGGCTGATTTGGCAACCATCCACAAGCCCGATCAACCTCGATATCAGAAAAACACCAACACCGTTGCGGCTGCTGTGAAACATATCGATCAAAAACGTGCCATGGGCACTGGAAGCACGGGGTTTGATATGGATTGGATTGGTGTATTTCAACGTCACCCCCAAACGTGGCTCCACATGGTCCAAGTGATTCGTCGATTCGTCCAGATCCGACCAACCCGGACAGGGCAGAAACCATTAATACCAAGCCGGCCATACCAAGAGTCCGCATGGAGGACGGGCATCGGAGCCGAGGGTCGGAGAAAAACCGCACCAAACCCGCACCTGCCGAACACCTGGACTCCGCAGGTTTGTTCATGGCAGGACGGATGCAGAAGGTGATGATGTCTTTTTTGCGGAAGGTGACGTTGTCCCACCTTTGGTTCCCCAATGGTTCCCCCTTGTCAACCGGGATCGCGCGGGCGAAGATCCGTTCCGAAGATCCGTTTTGTGACCCTCTCGTTTGACTCTCTTCATCCCTGGGCCCTTAGACCACCCGAGAGGAATCGAGTCGGATTCAACGAGAGGCGAACGAGCCGGGAGCTCCACGGCAGAGGCGGTCTTCCTCCGAGAGGCCGAGTCGCCTGTGGCAGTCACATGCCAAGCTAATGACTCATGAAAACCACACCAATGTAGGCATATATGATATATGGATATATATGGCATACATGGAGTGTCTGGGAATTACTCATCAAAGGTGAGCGCCATCCTTCCGTCCTTCCGTCCGGGTTCTTCGACAGAGGTCCTGAGGTCCCCAGTGTGGGGCGGACTCGTCGAAGTTTGCTCGCAGTTGGCGACGAGGCGAATCACTTTGCTCCGTTCCAGGTAACAATCCAAAAAAGCCGCTCGCTCATGGACCGCGACGGAATGAACATCCCCCTGGGCCCCGGAGGCGATACCATTCCAAGATGACATGTGGAGAGGGTGGGCCATGAATTTCGATGAATTCAATTGGATGCAGACTTCGAAGGTGGGTGCCTGGGGTTTGGAGGGGTGTCCCAATTTGGTTATGTATTTGGAGCAAAACGTCGTAGAGACACCATCCATCACCATCCTAATAGATACGACATGCACTAAAACTGACTGGTTGGAATCAGGAGGAGGAGTGTCTTCTTGCGACGACCCCCGCAGGAGATCAATGTGGCAGCCAAGTGATCTCCACCACATCGTCTCGGTTTGGCGCACGCAGAGGGGTGAACACACCGAATCTCAGCCATGGATGCCCTCAATGAAGGCGGCTGCCTGAAAGCATTTGCTTCACCGCAACGTGACGTGCAACCGCTCTTTCTCTTCATACCTTTGGGATCCTTTGGGTTTGCCCAAACCGCGACGGTTCTGTTGAGTTTCACGTAGGCTTTGTCAAAACGGAGAAGGCCTTTCTCAGGACGGATAGAGTCTCAAGGCAGTCCAAAGCAATCTGGAGTTGTCCGTCACACAAAAAGGGGGCAACTGATAAGTCTGATAAGTTAGTTTTGGGAGCTTCAAGAGTGCAGCGACCACGCAATCCAGCAGCCGGTTTGGCATGCTCAAGTGTGCTGACCTCTATGAGTGGAATCAAGCACTGTTTTGACCAACTAAATGTGCTACAACCCGTATTATATCGTATTATCATGTACTATCATGTATTATCAAAATCGCATTCTTGTTGAGGGGCACGAGTTCATGCCGAGATGTTCATTCGGCTCATCGTGCCCTTTT